CCCCAAAACCCCAAAACCCCATGACATATATTAGTAAGGAGTATTATTAAATTGTAAAACATTAAATGAATTCAATTTATCAAACAGTAAAAAAAAACTTTAATATTTTTATAAAAGGATCAATGGAATTATATGAAAAAGCCAATTTAAGTATTATGGCTTCTTAATCTTACTACTATGAGAAGCCTAAAATAAGAAAAATTCCTAACTTCTCTATATCCTTCTTTGAAGTCATAGAATTTCAGCACTAGAATGATTACATGAAAGATTACTTGGCATTCAGAGAGAAATTTGGACTGGCTCAGCATCTGAAGTACATTAAGGAGACTGAAAATTAGCACTAAAGAGAAATGCTAAGATTAAACTCAGGTTATGATGGCACCTTGTCCTGCTTCATAAAGCTCATTAACTCCTTTAACATGAAATTCAAATAGTCACTTGAGGATTAATAATACAGTATAAGAAAAGAGTAGTATGCAGAGTAACTTAAGAAACTTATCTATGAAAAGTAAATGGCAAAGGTAAGAGAAGTCAGTAGATTATTGCTAAAAAAGAGACACCTACTGACCCAGATGCAAGAGCAGTTCTCTCAAAAGATAGATTTGCTTCGTGAATAGGTGAAGATAGCTAAAAATTAAACTTAGATGTTATCAGATTAGTTAAAAGAATAAATAGAATTTGAAAAGTTTTCAAGAAAGGATTAGATTGAGGTTAATTCGAAGCATATTGAAAATCTCATAAGGATACAATACAAATGCAAATATAATGATGATAAGATTCAATATTTTAACCTTAGAGACCTCATATCACAACTTGGATTATAATAGCATTACAATAAAAACGGAGACTTTATGCATTTGTATAATGTAAAGAAACTCCTACAAGGGCAAACATATAAGTTCTTTATGCTGCAAATGTATTGTATATTAGATCACCCGCTCAGAACTGAAAAGCGATAACTCTTCAGAAACTTTATTAAGAAACACTGCTCATTCTTAAGCAAGTCAGATTATGTACAATACGAACTGATCGAGGACGAGGAATTGATTGATTTTCGAACTTCAGATTTATCTAGCATTAATTATATTCTATACAAGAAAAGGCTTGTTGATAAAAGAATGGATTTCAAGGTATTTCTAGTAAATAATGAAGCTAATATGGTTAATTTCAAGGTAACTTTGTGACTTAATTTAAATTCATTTTGTGAAAGAGTGATATATTGTATTGTTTTATATTATCAAAATTAATACTTTAATTTTATATGAATGGGGTTTTGGGGTTTTGGGGTTTTGGGG